CGAGGTCGGCCGTAGAACGTCGAGGGCGTCGCTGGTGTAGTCGAACTCGAGGAGGTCTCGGGGACCGGGAGCGCCTTGACTGCCCACGCTGGCCGTCGGGCTGAAGCACTGTCCGATGGCTGTGGCAGCGGCAGTCGCCGCGATGATGGCCGTTCTTGCCAGGCAGCCTCGCTTTTGTTGTACCTCCACTTGATGCCGCACTGGCTGCACTTGCAGAAGCTCCCGTACTGGTTTCCCGACCTCACCAGAGCTTCTGGAGGATGGCTGCAAGCTTGGCTTGCTGATTCCACCAGCTTCTGCGTCATCTCCAGGCACAAGGGGTCCTGGTGAGCCAGCCAGGAGCGCGGTCGAAGGCCCAAACGGATCGTGTTCAGCAGGAAGCGGATCAGCACCGTCTCGGCCGCCCGCACCGCCGTCATCAAGCACCGCCAATTCTGCATCCATCGAGGAGGCGGGGCCACTGATCGCTGCGCGAGGAGGGAAAGTCGTGGCTTTGACCAGCTCGAGGTCGCTGTTGCCTTGATCCAAAACTCGGCTGAGGTCCAACCATACATCTTTGGTGCTCTGCATGCGGGAGGCCTCGAAATTGGCTATGGCAATGCATATTATGTGGCCGTTGGCCTTTACAATGAGGACCTCTACATTGAAGATTCCAAGTCTCGCACAACCCTTGGGGAAATCAAGCACTGCCTGCAGCTTCTTCTCTATCATGGGCAGACTGAGCAGCAAAGGAATGTCACTCTTCTTGCGCAGCACGCTTGCACCAACCAGACAGCACGTGTTCAAGTCGTGATCTAGACAGGCAGGAAGGTACACATGTTCAGAGCTGAACTGCACGTTTCCCACGCCGAACTGGAACCCTTCTTTCTCTGGTGTCGAGTGGGGCTCCAAGCCGAATTTCTTGATCAGCTTCTGGTGGCCTCGTAACCAGCCGAGGGAACACACAGACCTTTGGCACACGGTATCCAGCACGGCAAAACCTGCAAAATCTGCAACTTTCGAGAGAAAAACTTCCTGAACCTGAAACGTGGAGGAGACAGCTCGGCAAGTGAACGTGGTGAAGTAAGACCCGTACTCATGAACGTGCCCCTCCGAAAGTCCTGGGTCGACCAAGGAGATCTCGCGCTGAGTCGAAGCTCCGTCGGCATGTCGGACGGTCATGACTTTCTTGGGCATGGTCTTGGCGTTGGGCTTGTCGGCGCCACGTGTTGCTGCCGGTCTCGTGCTTGTCCCAGATCCGGAAGCGCTCTTCTTTGACACAGGGCAGGCGTCGTCTCCTTGCCAATGTCCTCGTGCACCGCACGCTGCGCAGTGTGTGGCCTTCTTCCTGTCCTCGATGGAGCGGGGCTTTCCCGAGAACTTCCTGCCGAGGGTTACTCCTTGCAGTCGCCGGGCAGTGACCGTAAGGCACTCGGCGGCAGCTTGTATGGCCTCGTTGACGTCGTCGTCCTCGGCCTCGCCCTCCTGGTCGGGGATGAGCTCGGGGTCGTCGTCATCGTTGTCCGGGGCCTCCTCGTTGTTCTTGTCCTCGCCTTCGGGGATCTCCGAGAGCCGATCGCCCTGCTCGCCGCCGTCATTGGCCTGGCTTTCCTTTTCCGTCACAAAGGCCTTGTGCGCCTTGCCCTTGCCAGCGTCCTTGCCGCCCTTGTAGTTTCCCTTGCCGCCCTTGCTGTGTGGCTGTCGGCTTTCCGCCTGGCCTTGGTCACCACGACGTCCTGACTCGAACTCTCTGGCGAACACGGTTGGCGGTGCCGGGCGATGCTCCGGGAACTGCATCTGGGCTGCCTCGCGGACGGTCTCGTAGTGGAGTGACTGGCCCGTGGCGACGAGGATCAGTCGCTGCTGCTCGGCTGCCAGTCGAAGCCTGTCGAGAAGCCTTGCTCCTCGAGCCTCGCTGTCGTACATCAGGCCGACTTCGATGCCTGCCGCTTGCAGCTGCCTTTCCACGCGGGCATATCTATTGCAGAAAGAACGAATGCCCTCGTTGCTGTACCTGCCAATTTGCTCA